ACTCCCACACACTCTCACACTCACTCATGCTCTCACACTCAGACTCCCCCACACTCACACATACTCTCACACTCCAACACACATGCACTCATTCGCACATACTCTCCCCCACACACTCCCACTCCCATTCTCCCACCCCCCCCACTCCCACCACACACTCACATGCACATACTCTCACACTTCCACACGCTCACATTCTCACACACACACTCACCCCCCATTCACTCATATTCCCACACACTCACTTGCACATACTCCCACAAACTCTCACACCCATACTCGCTTTACACTCACCCCACCCTCTTTCTCACTCTTTCACACACTCACACCTCACATACTCTCACAACCACACATACACCTCCCTTATACACTCACACACGTACACACACTCACCCTTATCTTCTGTCATACACACTCACAGCTCACAATCACACACTCCCTTTCACACACACACATCCTTCCACGCACATGGGTGCTCCTTCATACTCACACGCACACACAGTCCCCTTTCACACATACACACTCACACTCATCCTTCCACACACGGGTACCCTTTTACATTCACACACACACACACAAACATGAATATCCTCACACGCACACACACTGACTCACAGTCTCAACTCTCACACACTCTTTTCCACACCACACGCTCATACGCCCTCCCCCCTAGCCCCTCTCTTGGGCGGTGTGCTCAGCCCTGTGTGGGTGTCCAGCCCAGATGGAGCCAGAGGACTCTGGTCAGGTCAGGCTCCAGAAGACACGCGCCACGCCTGGCTCCTCCTCTCTGCTCCCGTCTCTGCCCTGGGGTCTTTTGGGGGGTGAAGGCGATGGGGGTCACAGCGCAGGAAGATGCCCCTGACTTAGGGTCTGGGCTGGGAGCTGCAAAAGGGGCTGTGCCCACTCCATCCACCTGACCATTGATTGGCTGATGACGGAAGACCACCACCACGTCATTGCCAGACCAGGAGGACTTCGCCCAGCCACATGGACACTGTTCAGCCAAGGCAGAGTTGCTGGATGGGTGGCCGACACACGATGGATGCAAGGATGCTGGTGGACAGGCCACAGCTGTCACAGGCCCGAGGACCAGTGCCTGACCAGAGAGTCCCCAGCAGCTGCTCCCAACGCCCACCAGACGCATCACGGGCACGGAAGATTCCAGAAGGGCTCTGTGGAGTGTACGGTGCAGAACAGACCAAGGACACTGCGGGCACCAGGACACTGTTCCCCTGGCCACAGACTCCACCCCGGAGGAGCCTGGTGGGCAGGAGCCCCGGGCCTGGCTGCTGAGGAGGACTAGCTTGCCTGCCACCCTCCCCGAAGCCACAGACTGCGCTGCTGTGGAGAGGCTCTTCAAAGAGGAGATTCCGTCCCAAGGGGGTCCAGCCCTGTGGCCATGGGGGCGTCCACACCCTCCTGCCAGCGCCTGGCTTGCAGCAGCTGCTGCGACATGAGGGATACCCTGCCATCAGCCCCTCTGTCTACGGAGTGGCTTCCCACAGACCGTGATGGAGGGACCGCCCAGGAGTCCCTGTAGAGCGCCCAGAGGGCTTGCACTGCCGACGGGGTGGGGGGCGTAGTGCCCGGACCCATGGTGCCACTAGGGCTCATTAATGGATGCTGAGATAACTTCAGTTGTCCCAGGTGGCCCCTGATTTCAGGGAACATCCATCAGCTCGAGAAACTCATTTGTAGTTGGAATGAAACCCAAGGACGGATGGACAGACAGAAAGGACGGAGGGAGGGAGGTGAGGAAGAAGGGGAGGCATGTTATCACACCTCCAACTCCATCTTCATCTGCCCTTGGCTCTGGCGCCCACAGGACGTGCTGAGGGGTTTGTCAGGACACCTCCCCCTCCCTCCCCGCTGCCCCAGGGTTCTCTGAGGCTCTATCCATCTGTCCACTTAGGGAGTCGGTGGTCAGTTGGACAGCCCAAAGGATGGGCCCCTTCCTGGGGCATCACTGCCTATAGCTGCAGCCGTGGGACTTTGGCGTGGCTGCTGGTCCACGTCCCTAGCATGGTGGTCAGGCTGGGTTCACCTCTCTTCAGTGGGAGTTTCCCACCGCCAGTGCCCATCTGGTCTGGTCCCAGACATGTCCGCAGCATTCAGAGATGTCGAAATGCCCACCGGGCGGAGAGGACACAGGGCTCTGGGGAACCCGTGAAGCGGGTAGGACCTGGACCCTTGGGGCGGGCCCTGCAGGACATCTGTCTATGCAGGAGAGGGGCAGAGGGCACAGCCATGGGACACAGAGGCCACGGGCTGGGACAGCTCTTCCTGGGACCCACTCTTCCTGTCCCTCTTCCTGTGGCCACAGCTGTTGTCCCCTGCCACTTCGCTGGCAGGGCTTTGTTGGATCATTGGCCCTGGTGGGGCTGTTAGGTTGGTCGGCACAGTCTTGCCGACCACCTGAAGTGCCTGGCCTTCATCTTGTCCCGGGGCTGAGGGGCCAAGTGCACCCGACTGTCCTTGCTTATTATCAGCTGCTGGGCCACCCAAGAGCCAGGCCCTCTGCTCAGCCCAGAAGCAGCTGGCTTCCAGGTCTCAGCTGTGCGGATGCCCCATGAGATGCCTGCCTTGCCTTCTTAGGTCCCCCGTGCCCAGCCAGAGGCTCCTGGGTGGACACCTGATCTGCCCCTTCCTGCTCAGGATCCCCGGTCACGTCGCTACCCCTCTCTGCCAGCAGTTTGCTCATTGGCATGTGGAGGGCACTGCAGGCTGGCCCCAGTGGTGCTTGGCCAAGGCTGCCCGGTGTCTGTAGACCCATGCTGTGATCAGCGAACAGTCTCAGTCTGTGTGGGTCAGGCTATCAAGCACAAAGGTGTCCGTGCTGCTGCGGCCTTCCTCAAAACACGTAGCAGGCATCTGTCTGCAGGATGTCTGCCTGGAGACCCCGGGCCCCCTGCCTGGGCTCCTCCTGGAGGAGACCCCCCTGGGCAGGCCCGCCTGAGTAGTACTCGTCCTATGGGAGCTCCCCCTCTTGAGAGCTCCGCAGGAGGGTGGGGGTCCAAGCGGGGGGATGAATGGAGCCATCTCGAATAGTAACCAGTCACGGGGATGACACAGACTGGGTAGTGGGGTCTCAACTCACAGCCTGGGACCTCACCATAATGGGGGGGTGCTCAGAAGCAGCAGCAGGGATGAGGTTCCTGGGCATGCCCAGGGGCACTGAGGACCACCAACAGAGCATTAAACTCTAGCCCCAGAGTGACTTGATTTTCAGTCCCAATCCGAAGGCAGGGTTGACGTGAGTGGGCAGAACGCAGACGCCCAGCTCTGCAGATGGCTGCCCCAGGCTGGGGTCCCCTGCCTTCCGGCCAGTCGCCTGTTATCTCAGAGTCTTGGCTTCTCCTTCTGGGCCACTGAAGGTCCGCTTTCATCTCCTAGGGCTGGTGACAGGGACCTCTCACGTGTGTGTGAGGGCATCCATGATCACACGCGCACAGCCAGCGGCCAACGTCTCCGTCAGTGGGGACGGGCTGAGAGCACTCCCCTGGTGCACAGGAAGCAGACAGACGTAGCCCGTGCTGCCTCTCTCCTTTAATACTGCTGGAGCTCTCTGGCCACAGAAAGAAGGCCTGGCCTCCAGACAGGCAAAGAGGAAGCCACACTCTCTTATCTTATCGGCGGGCCATACGATTCTACCCGTGGAAAACTCGGGAAGCTTGGTAAGAATGTGGTTGGAGATCATCGGAAGACGTGGCAACATGACAGGGGGAGAGACCAACACACAAAAACCACCGCGGCTCCTGCGTGTGAGCAAACGGAGCTCTGCAAAAGGAAGTCGGGAGACAGCACGTTTGCAACAGCCCGCCCCCCCAAAAAAGGAGACAGACCCAGGAATGGACAGACTTGTCTAAAGAAAAAGTCAAAACAGGACTACACAGACAAACACACAGCAAACAACCACGACACAGAGCACAAGAGGCCAACATAAAGGGATGGCCGCGCTGTGCTCATGGATAGGAAGACAACACTGTGAAATGTCAACAAGGCCAGCCGACATCATTTTGGAAACACAGACACAAGCTCCCAACTTCACATGGAAAGGGAGGAAGGCGCTGGCACGAGCAGTGCAGTACCGAGCAGAGGCCTCTCACTTCATGACCCCAAACCCACCACAGAGCCAGCCCTTTGACCACAGCAGAGATCTGGGGGCCCCACTGGCAGACGGATTGGGTTCATGGCAGGGATGGGAAGAAAGGCCTTCCCTGGTCAAACCGATGAAGCCCCAGCAGCCATCCACAGAGGAGATGGCAGTGAAATGACCCTCGTGTTGGGGCAGCAGCTGATAATCAGAAGGTGGGTGGTTCAAACCCACTAGCTGCTCCTCGGGAGAGCGAATGATGGGCAGTTGCCCCCGTAAGATCAACAGCCTCAGAAGCCCTATGGGGCAGTCCTGTCTTGTCCTGTCCACGAGTTGGGCTCGGGCTGGTGGTGGTGGGTTTGGAGGGGGAGCAGCTAGAACAGGGAGCGCCGTGGAGAGAACAGGTTGTGGGGTGGAGGGTCTAGAGGTCAGCAGGGCTCCCTCGGCCCCTTCTGGGTTAGACACAACTCCCTGTTTAGTCCTGGGAAAGAACTCAGACCCCACATGATTCCTCACATGAACGCTGGCTCGGGGGCAAAGGATGCTCATCCCCAGGGTTGGGGTGGCCTGACCTGAGGGGCCGGGTCCAACCTGAACTCACTGCTGATGCCACACCTGTGGGGAGCAGAGACCAGGGAGACAGTGTGTACGGATGAATCCTTTAGGCTCAGACAAGAAGCAGCCTGGCAGGCTGGGTTCTGGGGTGAAGGGAGGCCTTCACCCTTGTGAGTTGGAGGTGAGTCCCAATCATATCTCATAATTAATATTATTCCTCACTATATCCTCCTCCCATAGTAGTACTACCTTAAAGTTACCCCTGACAAGCACGTGGCTGGTTGCCATCCATCCAGCAGCTTTAACTGTAGGAGCAGACATGTGCTTTGCTTCCTAGGCTCTGAGGACAGCCACTCCCCCTGCCCTGCCCAGCCCTGGTCTTAGGTCACTCTTCCAGTGAACTCAGGGACCTTTGGGGTTAGGGTACAGCCCACTTTGTTACATATGTGGTTACCTGTAATTAAGAGGGCTTGCACGATCCTTAGAGTGTATATAAGCTTCTGTTGGAAATATGTGCTCTCTCTCTGCTCGGGCCTGGCTCCTGAAGCCATGGCGGTCCCGGAGGTGAGCCCTTGCCTGCCAGTTGACTAGCCAACCGAACAGCCAGCCACTAAGGGCAGAGAGGTCCAGAGCACACACACATCCCAGCCCCACGCCGACACTCCCGCCCACCTGCTCATCAGGCACCTGCTAGTTCAACATTCACTCGCTCACCCCGGGCCTGCCCAGACTTTCACACCATCTCAGCCCCCACCACTCATTTAACCTTCCTCACCGGCCCCCACCCAGACGTTCATGCCCACCTGCCTCCTGCTCACACCCCCTGCTTTCTTAATCTCCACCAGACGTTCACACCCACCTGCTGAGCCCACCCCGCCACACACACGTGCACACACACGGCTGCGCTTCTGTGACTGGCTCAGAGCTCCGTTGAGGCTTTCCACGGCTCTCCTGGGGAGCACCGGTGGTCAGCACGTTCAACTGCCCACCTAGCGGTCGAAGGTTCAGTCCATCCACAGGCGGGAGGACAGGCCTTCGATGCAGCCATGAGCACAGACCCACCAGGACCTGCTCTGTGGCGAGGTCCGAGGGAGTGACACTGGCCCTCTTGGTGGCCCGGCCCGGCTGGGGGCATGGGAGGACTGGGCAGAGCTGCTCTGGAAGCGAGGCGGGAGAACTGGAGCAGACACGGGTCCTCAGAGTCTTTGCTGAGATGCAGAGAAGTGTGAGCTGCGGTGTCTGGAGCAGCCAGCCCCGAGGGCCTTAGGGTTGGCCCTTTCAGCTGCAGGCGTGGGCTGTTTCCAGAGGGGACCCATGGGGACCCACCGGTCCCCGCCGGCGAGACTGGCAGGCCTGGGTGTGGAGCCAGGGGCATGCACACGCCCACCTGGGCACTTACCTGGTTGCCAGACTGGCAGGCTTGCTTCCCATGGGTGAGTCCAGGATGTCCCTGGGTTTGGCCGATTTCTCTCGGTTCATTTGCTGTAGGATTGAGTTCAATTCGCTAATGACGTTGGCCTTGGGGCCTGAGAGAATGGGGCTCTTGACCTCAGGGGTGTCACCCCACAGCTTGGAGGTCCTTGGCTGCACCAGCTTGGCCGTGGTGGGCTGGGTACCGCCCGGCGGGGGCGGTGGGGCTGGCGGGGGCAGCAGGAAGCAGTCGGCTTCCTCCTCCACTAGGGCATCGTGGTGCAGGGCGTTGCTCTTGGGGAGGAGGGGCTTCACCTTGGGCTTCGGGGGCACGGGGGGCTTGTCAACCACAAAGGCCTGTCCGTCTGCATAGACGGTGCAGGTGTCCGCATTCTCACCGCCCTCCGAGGACAGGGTGGAGATGCTGGACACGGTGGACACGGTGCTGGTCGTCTCCAGGTGGTGGTCACTGCTGCTACGGCTGTCCACCTCCTCGATGCCCGAGTCCGTGATGGCATCGAAGCTCTCGGGGGGCGGCACAAAGGGGGCGGGCAGGCAGTTGGAGAGCCCGGCGGGTTTCCTGACTCCCTGCGTGGCCACGTGGGTCGGCTGGCCGTTGTTGGGCGGTGGGGCTTGGGGGCCTTCGTGCCTTCTGGGCTGGGCGAGGTCCGTGTCGGGGATATCAAAACTATTGGCAAATTCCAGGGGCGGGGGCAGCGGCTCTGTGAAGATGAAGTCCTCATCCAGGTCCATGGAGGCCAGCGGCGGGGGCGGGATGTGGAAAGGCAGGACTACGGGCTCCTCCACAGAGCTGGCCGCCACCATGACTCTGCCCCCCGTCGCGGCGGCCGGCTCCGGGGCGGCGGGGGGCTGTAAAGCACCTTCGGTTGCGGAGACGCCGGGCGGCCCCCCGGGGGTCGGCGGCGGTGTCTCTTCCTGCAGCGCCTGCGGGTCCTCCTCCTCCAGGGAGCCGTCCGCCAGCGCGGCGTCGACGGTGTGGACCATGAGCAGGCCGGCTGCCCTCTGCTGCGACGCGTCCAGGATGGGGATGAGCCTGTGCTTGTCGTCACCCCTGGGCTCTCGGCCCCCTGCCCCGGCCGCCCCTGTCGCCTCGTACTTGTTCTCCGTCTCCTGCCGGCGCAGCGGGCCCCTGGCGCTCGGCCGGGGCGCGGCCGGGAATGGGGCCTCGGCCGCGGAGCGCATCTTGGTGTCGATGAACAGGGGCTTGTTGAGGTCGGCCTTGGGGGCCTCCCCCTTGGGCCCCTGCTGGGACTCCTTCATGGCCCGGTCCCGGGCGGACAGGGCCAGCGCCAGCGGGGAACTGGGGTCCAGCAGCCTCCCGGTCAGTGGGTGGACGTACGTCTCGTTCCCGCTCTCGGGCCCTTTGGCTTTGGACGTGGGATTGGGCAGGCGCCCGGCCTCCTCCTGGGCGTCTCCCTCGCCCCCGAAGTGGTTCTCCGGCCGCTCCCTGGGCCCCGGCTCGGATGGTGGCAGGGCCTCCTCGCTGGCCTCCCTGTGGCTGCTGCCCTCCTCCTCCTCCTCCTCCTCTTCCTCCTCCGTGGCCTTGGGTGGCCCCAGCCCCACATCCTCGTCGCCCAGGTCGGTGGAGAGGAAGGCCGGGGAGTTCCTGCGGGCCTCCAGCCGCTTCTCGCGGTCACGCACGGCGCCCGCGATGGCAGCGGCGAAGGGGCTGCTGACGCCCAGGCTGTCGTCCGGCCGCAGCTGGCCGGGCTGCTCGGCGCCCTGGGGGTCGGCCTCCACGCTGCTGCCCTGGCTGCTCTTGCCGCTGCTGCTGGTGGACGGCTCCTTGACGATGATGGTGGGGATGGGGATGGAGCAGGTCTTCTCGGGGCTGTCCTCCACGTGGGGCTGCTTCACCAGCACCCCCTTGCGCCGCGCGGGCTTGGCCGGTACAAACACGGCCTTGTGGGCCAGCCGGCCCACCTCCGAGTACGGGTTTTCGGGCATCTGGCCCCGTTTGCCACGGAGGTGGGCCTGGGCGGCGGCGGCGGCGCTCCTGCTGTACAGGTCTTCCGAGTCCAGGGAGTAGCGATCCAGCTCCCTGCGGTAGTACAGGCCCTTCTCCCGCAGGGTGGTGGCCACCGTGTCGGAGCGGCTGGCCGCCGAGACCTTGGTCGCGGGGTTCTGGTTGAAGGCGGGCTTGGTGGGGCCGTGGACGCGCACCGGCGTCGGGGACTTGGGGCAGTTGTAGGCGGTGGGGGAGGGCGGGGGCGGGGACGGGGGCACGGACTGGGGAGGCGGGGGGATGTCCTCCGAGGTGTCCGGCATGGACAGACTCCTGGTGAACTTGAGCATCGGGGGCGCCAGGAACTGCCGCTCCTCCTCGGTGATCCCTGCGAACAGACATGCGCGCACACGCGCACAACGCCCCGGTCGGTGCTGACCTCCACGCTGCTGCCCAGGCCCCTCCAAGGGCGTGGCCATCCCCCCTTCTCCCGCTTTCCCCTCCCCCCGCCCGATGACTGTTATGCACAGCACAGCCCAAGCCAGGATGCAGGGGTGATGGGAAGGGGGGCTGGGGGAGGGGAACCGGACAGGAGGGAGACATGGGGGTGGGGGGTGGTGGGGTGGTGGTGGTGGTGCAGTCAGCGTGGGTGTCTGGACTTTTGCCTGGGTGGAAAACCCTGACCCTGGTCTGTGGGTGTTGGGGCCTAGGTTGAGGTGCGAGCCCTGGTTGGGCCCCGGGGTGGGTATCTGTGGGGTCTCCTGGCTGTGACCCACTGCCCATCTGGAAGTGGTGAGGGCTGGGGGCCTGAGGGCTGAGGCTCACTGACGCCGACTCAGGTTCACAGCAACCCTCCTGGACTGCGCGGCACAGAGTCAGCCTGCCTGTGGGTTTCTGAGGCTGTGATGCTTTACGGGGGCAGCCGGCCTCAGGGTGCTCCTGGGGAGCGGCTGGTGGGTTTGAACCGCAGACCTGGTGGTTGGCATGCAATGCCTAACACGTGGTGTCTCCAGGGCCCCCTGTGAGGGCGGACCTGCATTTGCCGGTGCAGAGCAGCTGGGGGCTGTGCTGCTGTCCCAGGTCACCCGAGGGAGTGCAAGGGGGTGCTGGCCTTATGGGCCACTGTCTCCTCAGGAGCCGAGGCAAGTCCGGCACGCCAGGACAGCGTGAGGGGGTGGCTTGGAGAAAGGGGCACCCTGACTGGGCACCAGTTCCTCCTGTAGTCAAAAACACCACCCCGAGGTGCTGGGCCCTGAACAGACACTCATCTGGTCCCTGGGCGGGGAAGCCAACTCCACCACATGGCATGACAAGAGCCGAGGTCTGCGGACTGGGCACCAAAGAGCCCCCCAGACGCGCCTGCTGGGCACCTGCATCTGCTCCCCCGGCCTCCCTCCCGCAGAGACGTAAAGGTGAGAGCCCAGTGCATGCTGGGAGGAGGTAGGCAGACACACATGTACACAGACACGGGGTCCAGGGTTGCACAGGCAGCATGCGGGGCCCACGGGGCGGGGAGGGGCTCTCAGAACCACCCATGATGAAAGGACAGTGATTCCCCCTCTCAGCATCTCCATCCAACAAGGGTATTCCAAATTCCACACACTCCTTCCGGGGGACGGTGCCTGGGTGGGGTGGGGGGCAATTTGGGTTGCCAAAGGCTTTCAGGCCGGGCCTTGCACCGCAGCAGTGAGGTGGCCGGCCGGGGGCCTGTCCCAAGGAGTGCGAATTTACGGATACACCCTATGGAGTCATGTGGCCACATTCAGGGTCAGAGCCCAGACCGCAGGGGGAGGCACTGACCTGAGAGAAAGAGTCTGCTGTCTGGTGGGAGGAAACGGACCATGATTAACTGGTGAGCAAGCCAGCCAGTCTCGCACGTGCCGCAGATGCCACCCAGGGTGGCCGGGCCCTCGGGGGGCCCAGGCAGGCGGGGTGGCACAGGTAGATGCTGAGGCTGGGCAGCCCCGGGGGACCTACTTACTGCCTGCAGCCGGTGAGCCTGCCCCTGGCGGCTGGCCCCGCAGGGCTGTTTCAGAACGGGGTGCTTCTTCCCCTGGGGGCAGACCAAGGCTGAGCCAGAGGCCCCCCTCACCCCGCCCCCGGCCCTAGCCCGGGTCCAGGTGCCAGCGACGTCCAGGGGACTTGATGAGGAATGGAAAAAGGTGGGTAAGGAAGCGGGGGTCTGTGCCCGGCTCGCAGGAGGTCACAGCGGCGAGAAACCGTGTGGGACCCCACTAATGTGTGTGTGTTCGAGAACCGGACCCAGGCAGCCCTGGGAAGCATGCCTCCTCCTGCTCATCCCGTGAAACGTGGCTGTGCCATGGGGCTGGGGGACATGGTGAAGCCTGCATAGGGCAGGGTGGCCTGGACTGCCCCCCGCGCCCCTCCCAATCTGCCCCTTACCCACCGTTCTTCCTGCCCTATGAGGGTTGGCAAAAAGTCTTGCTACCAACATGTAGAAACCATTAATCAATGAACATGCCAACACAGGAAGCTGTGGTTTCAGCACAGATCCCCCCCAATCTAGGCCACAGGTCCCCAAACTTATTTGGCCTACACCCCTTTTCCAGAAAACAAAACAGCTCAGCGGCCATGGCAAATGTTTGTGCTCCGCCCTGGTCACCAGGCATCTGCTGTCTCAGCCCTCCCCGGCCTGCTCCACTTCCCACGTTGGGAACCAGTGGCCTGCATCTGTGGGCTTCTGAAGGTGATGTCCCGACCCCCTGGCCCTGCCCCGGCCCCTGTCCCCAGAGAATCCTGGGCTCTGCAGGCGACGGCAGTGTGGGCACCCTCCTTCTCAATGCTCTTTGACTTTGGGGGACAGAAGTGTGCTGGGGCCAGCTCAGGGCAGGCACGCTGTCACGTTGGGGGGGGGGATCCCCCAGACTCACCCTCAGACCTTCCCCCGTCAGGACCGTTGCCAATGTCCCTACACCTCTCTCCTTCCTAATAAGCCCCGCGCAAGTCTCCTTTGGGGTCCCAATAAACAGTCCCCAGCAGCTCCAGAGCTGGCCTCGCTGCTGCCTGGCGCTTGGCTGGCCTGGCAGACTCCCACGGAGGCCCCTGTTCTGATTGGACCTTGCTTTGGGAAGGCACTTTAATGAGACATGGATAGGTGTGCCTAAGAGAACCTGTCCCAGCCCAAGCCCCCTACCGCCATCTTTCTGCCCCACAGTGACCCTATGTTGCTGGGGCTTTAATGTTTTTATGGGAGCAGACAGCCTCGTCGTCTTTCTCCCTCAGAGCCTCTGGTGGGTGTGAACCTTGGACCCTGCCGTTGGCAGCCCAGCTGTGCCACCAGGCCTGCCTGCAGAGGCGGGTTTAAACACCTTCTGTTTGGAATCAACCTCTGCACGAGTGAGCTGGAACCCAGTAGCAAGACCGTCGGACTTACCCTCATCTCCACCAAAGGAATGGCATTTTCACAAGCGCCTGGCCGCCCCGTTAGAACCCCACTCCCCGCCAGATTTGGTGTGCATAGGGGGGAGCAAGCTTTAAGCTGCTCAGGAATCACATGGCTGCCCCGTGGCTGGGGCCAGCTGCTGTCCCCTGTTGGGGGCCGAGCCAGGTGGGTGTCAGGGTCCAGGCCTCAGGTGGCCACTGGGGAGGGGGCCTGGGGGGATCCCTCCATGTGGACAGGGCTTACTTTGTTCAAAGCCAAAGGCCAGCATATCCAGGAAGGTCCACACTTCTTACCTATGGACTTCTGCCTTCGCATTGTGCCTCGAGGCAGGCCCAGCAGCGGCCCCTTTGGGCTCCCGGGAACCGTGGGCGTCATGACTGCAATGCTCTGGCGCTCATACACGGACTGAAACAGAGAGCACGGTCAGTCAGATGCCCGGGCATCCACACATGGCCCGAGGCAGAGGGCGGGGGCAGTGCCCAGACTGTCCCACCCCCTACACCATCACCACGACCCCTGGTGTCCACACACCGACTGAGCAGAGACAGCAGTCTCTTGATTGTGACCATGACCCCCGGTGTCCATACTGGGACAGAACCAGAGACTCTTGGTCAGTCTCTGACCGGCAGCGGGTCACCTGGGAGGTGCCAACCTTGGTTTGAGGGTGAGGTCATCCCCAGGCCCTGCATCAGCAACTGTCCCTGCAGCCAAGTCCCCTTGGGCCACCCTTCACTGCAGAGGCATGGCAGTGGACAGAGACGGGCAACAGCATCCAGTGAGTGATGCACCAATGAGGGGCTAGGGGCCCGGGATGGGAGGCCAGTTCAGGGTCTGGGATCTCCTCCCAGGTGCTCTCCCTGCACCCGAGCCCAGTACTTCCTCCTTCCCCTGGAAATGAAGCTCTTCCCCCGCACCACCCCCATGCTTGCACGGACCCTCTCCTCTGCAGATGGCGCTGAGGCCACTGGGTGTAGGTTTGTGTCTGCAGGGCGCGGGGGGCCAAGGCCAGCGGCCTCCACACCAGAGCCGCTCACTCACATTCAGGTCGGAGACAGAGGGGAAGCACCGGCTGGTGGGCCGCTGTTTGATGGTGGCCACCCTGGACTCCACAGCCACGTTCTCCGCCGCCCGCGACAGCTTGGAGGGGGGCACGATCTCCTCGGGCTTGTCTGCAAGGGAAGTAGGCGCAGGTAGCACTAGCGGGGAGGGCGGCTGCCCGCTGTCCACGCACGCACGCAGGCTCTGTGGGCCCAGGCCCCACACCAGGAGGGGTGACCCGGACACGGATGGGAGGGGCCCAGCAGCAGCCCAGGGACACAGCCTCCTCACGAGGCAGCCAGGCTCTCCAAGGAGCCACTGCTGGTGCAATCCGGATGTCTGTCTGTGTGAGTCTGTGTGTCTGTGTGACTCTATGTGTGCGTGTCTGTGTGAGTTTCTTTGAGTGTATGTGTCTGTGTGTCTGTGTACAAGTCTCTTTGTATATGTGTTTCTGTGTAGGTGCGTCTGTGTGTTTATGGGGGCTGTGCACGGCAAGTGATAGCTGTGTTTGTTTGTTTTTTTAACTCCTAACAAACCAGACTCACTGCATTGAGCCGATTCTGATCACAGTGACCTGACAGCCAAGCCAGAGCTGCTCCAGTGAGTTTCCAAGACTAATTATTTTACAGAGAGGTTGCCGGGAGCCAGCGTGTCAGTTCTGACCCAGAGTGGCCCCATGAGAAAGAAGACGGTTTCTATCCCTGCAAACTCCCCCGCCAAAGCTCTGGGTTTTAAAGGGATACGAAGCCTCATCTTTCTCCTGTGGAGTGGCTGTTGGTTTCAAACTGCTGACTCTGTGGTTTGTAGCCCAAGTGTAACCCATTACACCACCAGGGAGGAGTGGCTCCCTCGCCACCACACAGGAGCCCTGGTCCCGCCGTGGGCTTCTGGCGGCAGGCAGGCCGTTGGGAACCACAAGTGGCTCCAAGGGAGGAAGACGGGGCTGGCTCCTCCCATAGAGAACCCACGGGGCATCCTTCCCTGTCCTGCATGGGCTTGATGTCCGGGAGTTTGGCTTTTGTTTTACAGCCACAAACGCCATCCCCCTCCACAGGCCACGGGTGAGTGTGCAGTTTGGAAGTAAGAGAGCAGCCCGGTGGACAGGGCCCCAGGGGATCCCGCCTAAGCGGGACAGGGCACCCCCACTCTTCCTTCTAACGGGGCAATCTGCCCAATTCCTGAGGTGAGACAGGCTCAGTTCTCCTCGCCCCTCCCTCTTTTCTAGCGTGACCAGACAGACCACCACAACACAACGGCGCCTGCGTGACACTGGCAGCATGTCCCGTGCCCTGCCACCATCCCCGAGACCCACATCTTTCTCTTTGGTGTTATTTTCTCAACGGTGGACTTAGTTGAAGGGTGTCATCCTCAGCACAGCATGTGCACCCGTGTCCCGAGGAAGGAGAGAGGCTTCCTGGCAATTGAGCCTCAGGAAAAATCATAGATGGATGAAAGGAAAGCTTCTGAAGTCAAAAAAGCACCCCGAACTTTACAAAGGATGGCCTCCAAGAGCCGCCCAGTGGCCTGGCTCCGTCCCTGGGCTGTGTGTTCAGATGCAGGTGTGCTTAGGGCCGCTGGGATGCAGGGACCACCCTGTGCCCACTGGGCTCCCCATTACCGCGGCAGCCAGTCTATCCGACCCCCCGGGGACCCTGGAAGACAGAGACTGGCCCTTGAGGCTGTGAATCTTTATAGAAGCCAATGGCCACATCGGTCTTCCAAGGAGCAGCTGGTGGGTTTGAACTGGAGATCTCTGGGTTTGCAGCCAAGGGCCTTAGCCCCTGCTTGGGGCCCTTCCCCACACCTACAGGGCTAGGCCCCCTCGGTGGGTCTGGGAGGCTGCATTTTAAACAAGACTTGTGGTTGCCCAAGGCTGAGGATGTGTAATGATGCCTGCTGCCTACACCCCGAGGGGCACTGTGTTTGTCTCTCACCGCCCCCCCACCCCCTGGAGAAACAGATCACCTAGAACATTCCATAGCCTAAAGTTCCTGAGCTCCAAGCCTGGCCACTGGACAGTTCTACTTGGGGTCCCCTGGGGCCTGGGACCCAGGTCTCTAAGCGGTTCTTCATGACACAAGGGCTGAGCCTCAACACAGGACTGGCCGGGACTGCCCGCCAGGGGCTGGTGCTGACCTGACACAAGACGGCCCTTAGAGAGTGGGGTGTGTGTTGGTACCCCGAAATGCAGGCACCTGGTCAGATAGCCCACACAGACGGACCCTGCCCATGAGCTGGCATCGGAATGTGCACTCATTTTCCATGGAATCCAACGATTTCCCAGGCTCCAGACAGGGGTCTGGGCATCGGCCTGTTGAGCCAATGGGTGGGGCGTGGGGGTGTTACATTTCAAAGGCATGTAAGAAGGTGAAGACCAAGCCCCAGGGCCCACGTGGCCTGAGAAACAAGGGCACACGACGCCCAGTGATGTCCAGTGGACTGGTGGCTCCCCGTGGGTCAGGGTAGAGTTGGCCCCACCGGCCTTTCTTCCAGGGAAGTTCTGGGCGGTGGTCACTGTTGACGTTGAACCGGGAGTTGGCTGGTGGGCATGGCCAGATGCCCAGGAGGCTCCAGGGCAGCCGGCTGGCCTACTGCACACTGAGTGGCCAGCAGGGCGTGGGGCGGTCAGAAGTCACAGCAGGGAAGTGCCAAGTCTGGCCCATGATGGACACCCAGTCGGGGGCCTCAGAGTGGACAGGCACCATCGAGTCCCGTCCTTAGCCATCTGGGTCCACAGTGTCTAGCCATCCCCTTCATTGCCACGGCCCCTCTGAGATATCCTTTCCTAGAGGCCGGTCTTTGTCCAAAGGACATAGGCCAGGCCCCCTCTGTCTAAAGACCAGGGTCTCCCGCACGCTCCACAAATACCACTGTCCAGTCACAGCCCTGCCAGTGCCCACTGGCTCCCCGGCTCAGCTCCCTGCCCTCCGTTCTCTCTCCTCTCGACTCCCTCCCCCTGGGGCCTCGGGGACCCCCGCACTCTCCTGGCTTATCCCTCCAGGGGACACTATGGATGTTGGGGGTTCTTGGGCCAAGAAGGATGCTCCTACTTCTTCCCCTCCACCTCACAGGTGGGGGCACACCTGTTCCTTATCTGAGCTCTCGCCTCCCCCCGGTCCTCCCCTGAAGGATGTCACCTCCCACGCTCCTGAGTCCAGCTCCACCCTACACTGCTTGGTAGTGAGGCCTCTCTGTGCAGTCCCCGTCCATGCCCACCCTCGTTCACACTGGGGCCTGGACCACTGCCCAGCGCAGAGGGGCTCAGAGCCCCTCGGCTGACAGGCTGGAGCACAGCTCTGGCTCCATCCCTTCCTAGAACAGAAGCCCCCTTGGCTTTGCTGTGGGCCAAGGTGCAGCCATGGGAGTGGGGGCGCAGAAGGGGTTCCCCCCAGCTGGCGAGGGGCTTGGCTTTGATCCAAGGGCGTCTCGCCCCCTGGCCCACCAGGTGGACACTGCTGGACCCACTCGCTCCCCCCGGGGCTGTCGCTCTCGGGAGCCGCTGGGATAGTGTTGACCGTGCAGAGGCGGCACCCAGGAGGCAATGCCGCAGGTGACCAGGGAAGCCTGCCCAGGTGGGGCTTTAAGGGGATGTGGCGAGAGCCCACCCTGTCCATCCCTGTTCCCTCCTGCACCCACAGAGCCCTGGACCACCCACTTGGACTCAGGATGGGGGTGCCCATCAAGTGGGGATGCCGTGGGCAACGTCCTTCAAGTGAGATGCCATTAAAGTCGGGGTCCCACGTAGCGGGGTGCTGTCAAGCCCGACTACAGGACTCGTTATCTTCTTAACTTTGTGATTGAGGATGTTCACAGAGAAAACTGGTCCCCATTCCATTGACTGTGGTTCCCCTGCTGTAACAGTACTCCTCCCCCACCCAGCCAGTGCCGACTGACAGCGGGGCACTTCAGCTCTCAGGGGCAGTGGGGGCTCAGAGGACCATGTCTATGGGAGGGGGGCATGGGCTCTGAGTGGCAGTGTTGGGGTATGTGGGGCTGAGGGTCATGGGCCAGCGGCTCTGCTGTGATGGAGGTAAGCCCCTGGCCGGGCCCTTCTGGACACCACAGGCCTGTCCCTTGGCCATGAACAGACCCAGCAGGACTGGCTCACTGCCCACCCTCCCTCAGGTCTGCCTGGGTCTCCAGGGACCCTCACATGACTGCAGGAGCTGGCAGCAGAGTTGATCTTGGGGTCTCAGGCATGTGGTCAGCACCCCAAAAATGAGAGTTGTAAGATCTTCAGGGTCCACGCATCTGGTGGAAGTCCTGTATTTCCTCCCATTTCAACCACTGGGGCGCCTGCCCGGGAGGGCTCAGTCTCATTTTGCAGAGAGGGGAACTGAGGCTTGGAGATGTGCCTGGTCGGGCAGGGGTGCTGAGGGGCCATTAGCCGCACAGGTGGGTGCTGACCCCTGGTGGTCACTCGAAGCCAAGCGTCTGTTTGTAGGTACTATCCACGCCCCCCCCACCCCCCCTACAGGGGCTTGGGGTGGACAATGGGGGAGACACTCTATAGAGTCTCCTCCCAGAATGTTCCCATCATCACACAGGGGGCCTGGGATGTGGTGGCACCGAGGGTGCACTCCCTGACCCCGGCCCTTGGCTGTGGGCAACACCATCTTTGCCTTACGCCCCTCACCCACCGCCACGTGTGTCTTCCTGAACCAGGACCCGAGGCAGGCCCGAGGCTGCTTCCACTGGGAGTCCAGTCTTGTGTGAGATTTGCCTCTGGGACCCACTGCCCGGGAGCCGCGGCCTGGCCTGCTGTTCCTCAGCTACCTCGCAGTATCATCCAGGCCGTGTGCCGTGCACCAAACAGTCGCCCTGCCACAGAGCCAATGTGGACTCCCTGCTACCCTGCAGAATGCCCCTGTGGGCTCAGGAGAGCAGAAAGCCCCAGGTGTGTCCCAAGGGGCGGCTGGTGGTTTCAAACTGAGGTCCCTGCGGCTCCCAGCCCACTCCGTACCCATGACACTGCCAGGGCTCCTGGTTCACCAGCCAGGTTGGCTTTTAAAAAGGCTGCGGGGCTGAGCTTCTGTTTGTTAGGCCAGGAGCCAGGAGGAGGGTCACCTCCAGCCACAAAGGCCAGGACCCGGGGCCCCTCTGGACCTCGGTGAGGGGGCCTAGCAAGAGCAGCCCCCGCAGTTAGAGAGAAGGGAACTTGGAGATGAAACGGGATTCCGCCGACGTGGAGAACCACCCGCTCCTACAAAACCACCAGCAGCCAGGGGACCATAGGCAAGCATGGGGCCCCATCCTAACTTCCCAGGAAACCTTGGCTGCTGGTGGGAGATGCAGGCCATCTGAGTCCGCAGAGATCGTCCAGGGTGTGTGCATGGGGTGGGAGTATGGGGGGCTTGCCACACCAGGGCAGGGGTGACAGAGGAGGCCTGCCATCCAAGTCCAAGCCACGGAGGCCCTGGACTCCAGGTTCACTTCAGCACAGTGACCCAGAGAGGGACAGAGAGCAAGTGAGTGTCCTTGAGCCAAGTCCTCTGCCATTCTCCCCACTGCCATCCCACTGGACACCTGGGCACCGTGGGCACTCCAGCAGTGGTGGGAGCAGTCCAGGACAAGCCCCCCTTTCACGGAGCCTGTGACTCCAATGAGCCATGCCTCCTCTGGCCTGAGAACATGTGCCAGCCCAGATGCCGGGCCCTGGGCCCCTGTGGAGAGCCGGTGGTCTGCAGCCCCCGGGACTGTCCTGAGGTTCCCAAGGGCGCCAGAGGTGTGTGGCCAAGCCAGGATGGAGCTCAGGTCTTTCAGCACAGGGCCACCAGGGTCACATGAGGCGGCACATTCTCAGCGTCCAGGGCAGGGGTCCCCCCACCCCACATCCCCTCCAGACTCGAATTCAACCTTTCCCTTTCTTCTCTGCTGGTGGGGGGGGCTTGCCTTGAGTGAGCAGGGAAGGCGGGGTGGTGTCACGGTTTTCCCAGCAGGAAAAGTCTGGGTCGCTTACGCTAGGACGGACCCACTGGCCAGCCTCTGGGTTTAATTCCCTCTCTGTCCCACGGACCCCGCCCCCTCTCCAACCAGAATATGGCTCTGTCATCTCAGTCAGGGGGTCTCGCAGGACCAGAAGTCCCCTGCCCATCCTGCCATCCAACCCCACCCCCCCACCCCATCCCAGGCCAAGGCCTTGTAAATACTTGGTCCCTGAGGACACGTTACCTCCCCATCACAGCCCTCAATGGAGGGACTCCAGGGCCCAGAAGTGCACTTTCGGGGACCCCGGTGACAAGCTGGAGGCCCACTTCCCTTCCGCAGTTTGAGGTATGCCTCCAGCTTCTCGGGGAGTTGAGATGGTCCAGCAAGGGGCCTGGTGGGGGGAGGTGGACCCTGGACCACATCTCCATGCACCTACTGTGCATCAGGCATGAGATCCACCCCACTGTGTGGGGAGTGGAGAGGCAGGCCTGCAGGCTGAGGCGGGTAGAGAGTGCTGGACCCTCCAGGCTACAGACCCCCCACAGGCAATGGGCCCTTCGGTCTTCCTGCCCACCCACCACCCCTGTAGCTACCTTCTGTTCCCCTGGGGAGTGGCAATAACCAGGGTGAGATTTGAATCTTGAATCGACACCCCCAGATTCCACTGTTGGTCAGAAGAGGTGGCCCTCCACTCTTGGCCAACCCTCCTCCCCCCGACGGGTGTAGACTGGGCCTTTGAAGCCCCCTTCATGGCCAGGAGTTTCTGAGCACTGCAGGAGCTCCTGGGGTGGAGGTGGGGGGAGGATGGGATGGGCAGGTCTGGGTGGCACTGGTGCAGTGCCCGCTTGGGCACAGTGAGCCCTGAGTCAATGCTGGTCTCCCTGATGGCCAATGGCTCCAGGAGGCAGCGGGCCTGAGGGACTGCGGCCTTCAGGAAGGTGATGGTGGTCAGGGGCTGGACCACACAGTGGGGGTCTGTTCCAGGACGGCAATGAGTCCTCATAACAATGAGACTTCATGGACCTGGGGAGGGGCTGCCTGGGACCCACTCCCAATGCCCGGGGGCTTCCCTGGGCAGCCCCAGACAGCGGCACCGGCTCAGGCAGCTCCAGACAGTGGTACGGGTGCACACTGGGCCTGAGGCTGGGAGCCGGTGGGTGGGTGGGAGGCCTGGACTAGAGGTTCATCTCTTGGGGTGCTGAGCTGAACCTTAAGGCCAATGCTCCCAGGCTTTGTCTTGGAATTTCTAGGGCTTCTTTTAACTGGTAGGGTGGGGCTCTTGTCTCCACAGCCCCATGTGAACATCCTCAATGTGAGGAAGGGAAGGAGCCCAGTGGGACAGCGCTTCCACCTGGAGCTGTGATCCACAAGGCCGGCAGTTCGAAACCCCCAGCCGCTCCTCAGGAGGAAGACGGGACTTTCTACTCTTGTACAGAGCTAGTCTCAGACTCAAAGGGGCAGTTTATCCTGTCTACCAGGGTCGTTATGAGTCGGCATGACTCGGTGGCAGTGAATTTGGCTCAGCTGAGAAAGTGGGGTCAGCCTTGTGTGTGGGGGGTCACAGCAACGTCAGCCCCGCCCCACCCCCACCCCCCAAGCTCCCCTGCCCCGCTGTCCACACTGGGCAGCGACTTGGGAAAGGGGCTTGCTGGGAGCAGGAGGAGGCCAAGGGGCCAGGGGCCAGGGTCAGGATGCAGCCCCAGGTCTACCACGCCCCAAGCCCAGTGCTGGTTAACGGGACCCTCAGCCCACTCACTGCATGCCCAGGCTGGGTGGTCACCGAGAGCTCACAACACACTGGAAATGGCCACTCCATGCCTGCAGGCATGGGCCTCCTTGTGCCTGCTGGGAGAGGCCATCATGGCTGTGAGGGGCCGGGGAATCCACCCCAGGGCCTGGACCTGGCAGCCATCTCTGCTCTGGAGGAGATGCCGCAGGGAAAGGCACGCACACGCTGGATAAAAGACAGACGGGCAAGCCAAGCACCGGACAGACTGGGGAAAACACAGGGCTCACAGAACATTCTAGACCACCAGCAGGGTGGAGGGCTCGGCAGAGACAGACACTCACGAGTCCCCTTACCCTTCTTCTTCCGGACGGAGGCTTGCGAACAGAAAGGGCAGTTTCGTGAGTCACCTGTGCTGGCACAGGTGCCCCCCACCTCGTCTCGGGCCACTCTCAGGAGATGGGGCAGCTCAGTGAGCAGGCCGGGGTGGGTGGTGTGTGTGTGTGGGTGGGTGGGTGGGCTCCCAGAGGAGGCAGCAATGCAGGGGCAAGCCCATAGCCTCTTCCTCTCTGGGAGTGCCTTCTGGGGGTGGGCGCCAGGCCCACTATGGACACAGCCTGGACCACAGTGGCCACGAGACTTGGGCTGGGGGCTCGGAGAGCCCTGCTGTCGCTTGGTTGAGCGGGTATTCATGGGGGATCCCCTTTATGTGAGGATGATTTGCTGCTGGTGCCCATTGGGAGGCTGAGACCACCAGGCACAGGCAGGCCCTTCAGGAGCGCATGGGGCATCAGGGTTGGGCTGTAGACCTAGTCCCACCGGTGTGGGCAGTGCACACATTCAACACCCCTGGGTTGGGGTCCAGCAGGCCTGTTCCTCAGGGCTGTGAAAGTGGGATAGAGCATCACCAGCCCCAGCGGGAGCAGGGGGAACCTACTGGTTCCTGGGGGAGTCAACTAGTTCAGGGGGATCTACTGGATTCTAGAGGGGCTGGGGAATTATTGGTTGTGGGGGCAGGGATCTACTGACTCCTTGGGGTTGGGGATTTATTGGATCTAGCTTCTAGGGGTGGGGAATTGCTGGTTCTGGGGAGTAAGGAACCTACTGGTTTCTAAGGGGTCTAACTGGATCAATTGGTTTCTAGGGGGTGGGAAATAACTGGTTCTGGGAGATCTATTGGATCAATGGGATCTACTGGTTTCTAGGAGGTAGAGGGATTATTGGTTCTGGGGGATCTACTGACTCTTTGGGGGTGGGATCTACAATTTAGGAAGCCCTACTCATTTCTAGGGGGAGAGAGAACGACTGATTCTGGGAGTGTGTGGGGGTACGGGCTCTTCTTCCTGGGGAGCTGCTGGTTCTGAGCGTTGGGGAGGCCTACTGGTTCCCAGGGAGTCTACTGGATCTAGGGTGGTGGTGGTGGTGTCTTGGTTTCTAAGGGGTGGAGAATGAATGGTTGTGGGTGGGGGTACTGGTTCTTGTTCTGGGGGCATCTGCAATGTAACCCTTCTTGGAGTGTTGGGGTACCCATCCCAGCAGAAAGGCCATATCAAGAAGACCATGCGGGGTAGTGGACAGGGGCCTTTGTCCTTCCTCTAAGGCTGGGCTTGTGGGCGCAGCGTAGGTCACACGCCCAGTGCATGCTCAGGGCCCAGCCCCGCCTGGTGCTGGGGCTTGGGTAGAACCATTCTCAGCACAGGTGACATACACCTGGGCAGGGGTGCAGCCAGGCGGCCCTTCTGATACTCCTCCCTGGCCTGAGGGCCCCCAGGTGCCCCAAGGCTCACAGGCTCCAGAGGATACAGAGGTGTACCTCCCCCCAGCTAGACCCACTTGCCCAGCAAACACCTCCGTACCCCACTCCCCTCCCACAGCCCCCAAGCCAGAGAACCCTGTGGCCCTGACCCTCAGTCTGGCAGGCAACATTCCCCTTCCACCCTGCTGTCTCCCCAAATTCGGCTCCAGGGCAAGCTGGTGTGGCTGTATGTCGTCGTGGGGTAGCATGAGTGTCAGCGGGGTCCCCCGGAGGGCAGGGGACACCGTGGGGAGCTTACCTTTCTCCACTAGTGAGAGGCCCAAAAATTCAAAACGAAACAATGTTAGATAGGCTGAGAGACGCACCACCAGCCCCAGCCCGCACGGCCAGCCCTTCAGCACGCGTCCCGGGAGGCCACCGCCGTCCTCAGGGTGGACGTCGGAGGGCACCGGCGAGCGGGTCACATGCGCAGGGGCGTGGGGGCGCCGCACCGCGAGTCTTACCGAGCTCCTCCAGCTCCGAGGTCATGGACTTGGAGCGCAGCGTGAGCGCTGTGGTCGGCGCGCGCTTGGGCGGAGGGGGCGCTGCACGGGCAGAGAGGGGTGGGGGGTGAGTGTTGCAGCCTCATGGGGCTTGGTCTCAGGGTAAGGCCACGGGGTGGGGGCGGGAGGGCACCTCCAGCAGCTCAGAGCCCATCTCTCCGCTGCAGTGGGAGGGCGGGCCCGGGAGGGCGGGCCCCTGCGGGAGGGGGCGGGCCCTGTGGGAGGGAGGGCCCCTGTGGGAGGGGGACCCCGTGGGAGGAAGGGTCCTGTGGGGCAACACTGTTATCAAAAGCAGGAGGGAGTCTGCAGCTGGACCCACCAGTCCCGCCTGCCTCTGCCTGTGCCATCCCCGGCCCCCACTGCCCAGGCAGAGCCCTCTCTGTTACCCCATTCTGCAACAAGCTGCAGTGGGGGTGCAGGAGGGGTGAGGGGGGTGGGGTGGTGGTGGTGGTGGTGGGGCTGGGTATCCTCACTTGGGCGCAGGCCTGGAGTGGTGCTCATTCCCAGCACTCAACCCTGTCCCTCCGTCTTTCTGTCTGTCCACAGCTCACACTTCCCACCTGCCCTGGTCCTCCTCCAGGGTGCCCCTGGGGAGGCTTCCACCAGTGCAGCCCCCTCCCCCCTGTCCTGGGGCGGCTTCTCTGGAGCCTGCCTCTGAAAGTACCCAAGCCTGCCTTGGCTGATGGCTGAAAGGGGCTAACCCCGCTGTCCCCTGTGAGAGTGATCTCCCTCCAGGGGCAGGAGATGGGGGCGCAGGGAGAATGGGGGGCAGGAGATTGGGGGCAGGCAGGGAGAAAAGCCTACCTTTTTTCCGGGCGGTGTCATCCGGGTCCAGGTTCCGGCTTACGGTGACCACCTTGAGGGCCAGGTGGTTGCCGCCCTGTCGGATCATGGCCACCACCTGCCGGTGCCCCACCTTCACAACATTCTCGTTGTTGACCTGCGGGGAGAGGGGTTGACGTGGTCAGCAAGGGGGGAGCAGGTGGGGCTGGACGGGGGTGGGAGGCCACTCGTGCCTGCTGTGGTTGTGATGCTGGAAACTCTGCCACCGTATTTCAAAGGCCAGCCGGCAGGTCCCCCACGGAGGCCAGGTGCCCTGACTACGGCAGACAGAGAAGAAAGGCTTGGGGTCGACTCGGAAATTGCCCGGTGCAACCTCCCAGGGATGGCACAGAACTGGAAGGCACCTGTGGTGGCCACTCTGTCCCCAGCAACCACCCAGAGGGGCAGGGCCGACGCAGTGACTTTTGGAACGTCTGGGGAGGCCAGCATGAAGACAGGTCTCTGTGGCGTGCCGGCCCAGGGATGGGTGGAGGCTGGGGGAGGGCAGGAAGCCTGGTTCTCCTCTAACCATGGGCTCAGTGAGCAGCCTGGGGATGAGGCGGGAGGGAGGCCCAGGGCCCCTTTTCCCTCGGGCAGTGGGCAGTGGACAGTGCGACATGCAGAAAGCCTGGGCCACCACCACTGTCTGTCCTCACAGCTCCGCAGTGACAGAGCACTAATCACTTGCTCTCACGTATGCAAGGACCCTGTTACGTCACCACGGCTCGTTCCCTGCAGTCCCCTGTCCCTCCTCGGCCTGGGGAAGGTCTCCCCTCAGTTGACAAAATGCGCAGAGGGCAGACCACTGCCCCGAAGACCCAGCATGCTGCCTTCCCTGCGGTCACTGCCCAAGGGAACTGGAACTCTGCCCCTCGCAGAGCCCACACCTTCCCTGCCCCCCTGCCCAT